TCTCTCTCTCTCTCTCTCTCTCTCCCTCTCTCTCTTCTCTCTTCTCTCTTCTCTCTCTCTCTCTCTCTCTCTCTCTCTCTCTCTCTCTCTCTCTCTCTCTCTCTCTCTCTCTCTTTCTCTCTCTCGCAGGCGGTGCTCTTGGACCCCCGCTTGCCTGGCGGCGAGAAGAAGCCGCTGAAGGAGTACATCAAGTGGGTGCGCCAGGATGCGGGCCGGGCGCAGACCGTGCGGCTCAAGGTGGATGCGTACGTCCAGAGCCAGGCGGGGAAGGACCCAGAGAAGCGCCGCCGCATGTCCAGGCAGGCCGCGGGAGACATCCAGGCTCGCCAGGTATCTTCCGTCAAGGTCTCCGGGCGTCGCCTGTCTGCGAACTGGCATCAAGCCTGCCCCGTGAGCAAGTGGCGCGAGGCTTTCCCTGAGACGCCGCTGCCCACGGACCCGAATTGTCGCGGCGAGGAGCTCATCGACGGCGCCTGGCAGGAGGCGCGTTGCCAAGTCGTCTTCCCACTCGCTTCCTTCATCGTTGAAATGCCCTCCCTTTCTGCTCTCCTACTGGCAGGTTGTATATGTCATGAAGGACGGCGCGAAGAAGTTCTTGTACGACATCGCGGACTACGACGATCGCAAGGTGGAGGACAGGACGGTGCTGGCGACTGTGGCCGAGTCAGACGACGACGCGGACGCGGCTGAGGTTGCGGCTGCTGCCGAGGCCGCCGTGGCCCCAATTGCAGCCCTGCGGCGCGCCACGCAGTGCGCGGAGATCGGTGCAGCAGAGAGCGCGCCGTCGGAGGGGCACCAGTCCGACTCTCCCGCGAGCGACGAGGACGCCGAAGAGACGGATCTCGTGGCCGCGGCGCTGTCGGGCCTGTGGGGCACGGCCCGCGCCGCCAAGCCCGCGCCCAAGGCTGCGACCAAGCCGCAGGCCAGACCACCAGCCCAGACGACCGGGGGGGCTACGTCCGGGCGCCCCGCCCAGACAGCCGAGAGGCCTGCCGCCAAAGGGGCTGCCACGCCCGCAGCCGCTGCCCCTTCGAAGTGCGCCGCGCCCTCGGCGCAGGCGCCGCCGAAGAGGTCAGCCGCCCGCGCCCCTGCTCAGACGGCCGCGCCCTCGGCGCAGCCAGCCGACGGCAGCGGCGCCAGTCCGCCCTTGGCGACCCCGCAGCGCTCGGGCCGGAGCCAGCCAGGGAAGAAGCGTGGCAGCGGCGGTTCGTGGGCCGCGCCCCTGCTCGCCCAGCCGCCCGACGACTCCGACGAGGGCGGCGGGCAGCCGGACGAGCCAGCACCTCTCGAGGACGGCTCCGCGTCGAAGAAGAGGGGGCGGAAGGCCCTCGAATTCAGCCTCGCAGCGGCCGGCAGGAAACTCAAGGGCGAGGCCGACGCGCTCTTCAACACGTTCCGGGAGTGTTACAAATTGCTCGACTTCAGCGGAGATGTGGACCTGTCCACGAAGGAGGGGAGAGCCCACTTCAAGGCCACGGCTTTTGAGCAGGCGGCAGCCGCAGAGAGCGCCATCCACACGGCCAAGAAGGCAGCGGCCAAGATGGGGAAGATCCCGGATGACGGCGCGCAGGCGCTGCAGATCAACAAGGCGTGGCTGGCGCGCTCAGAGGAGGCGCTGGCCGCGGCAGTGCGGGTCGTCAAGGCGGAGTGGTCGCGGTCGTGGTCGCGTTCGTGGTCGTCGTCGTCGTCGTCGATGGAGGAAGGGAGGAGGAAAGGAGAAGGACGATAGGGGGAGAGGGAGGAAGGGAGGGGGAAGGCAGGAGGGGGGGTAGGAGGAAGGAAGGCGGAAGGCAGGAGAAAGGGAGGAGGAAGGGACGCGGAAGGGAGGAGGAAGGGAGGAGGAATGGGGGAGGAAGGGAGGAGGGGGCTACAGTGCGCATTCAGTTGTTCATTCCTCTTTGTGAACGGGGGCTTGGAGGCCCCCGGCCCAGTTCAAAGGAGGCGGCGGAAGCGGAGGAGGAAGAAGATTGAGCGATGGGGGACCAGAGGGGGCGGAGGAGTCCGCAGGCTGCTGTGAGCGAGAAGCCAGGGAACACCGAGACTCTCCTGAAAGACACCGAGATCGCCGCGGCGGAGGACATCGCGTTCGGCGTGGCGTACCACATGCGGTTCAGGAGCTGGAAGGCAGACGAGGCCATCAAGCGCTGCGATTGGTTGCAGCTGATGTCCCTGTTGGAAAGCGGTGCTGCAGATGGCGCGCCCTCGGCAGATCTCGCGACGACGACCCTCGAGCGAGTCGGCACGGGCCTGATTTCGGCCGTCGCGAAGTCGGACGCCAAGAAGGGAGGCGGATCGTTTGCTGCCGTGGTTGCCTTCGCTGGCGCCGCGCGGGATGCTCTCCAGCGGGCCCCCGCCGACCCTGCGCGGCCAGTGTGGGAGGAGGAGCTGAAGGGTCAAATCCAAGTTCTCTGGGCAGTGTCGCGCGCGAGCACTGCCCCGCTGACTGAGGTGGAGGAGGCGCTGGAGGCGCTCCCGCAGCTGGAGGGGGCCTTGGGCGTCGCTTTGAACACGAGCCCGGGCGGCAAAGTCCTCGTTGGTTGGGCGGAGTCGGCCATGAAGAAGCGGTCCCACGAGGAGGCTGCTCTCCAGTGCGCCCAGGCAGCCCGGGAGCTCTTCGCGCTGGTGACGGGCCATGCCGCCGGGGAGCAGTGGCAGAATTGGACCGAGGAGGTGTCGCGCGCCTGCAAGAAGCAGAAGGAGGCCGTGTCCAAGGCGGGCGCGCTGCAGGAGGCCGACCGGCACCAACTCGCCAGGGAAGGCCGCGGGCGGGCCTCCGCAAGATCGCGAGTCCGTTCGATGAGGTTCGAGGGTTTCCGATCCGCCATTGGTTTTAGTTTGGCCGGTGCTGCTGCGGCGCGCCTTATTTTCTCCTACTTGAGCATGGGATGTTTGACCTCGCCGTTGCCTGTGTTTGCCTCCTGTCGAGGCACGGCGTTCGAGGACGTGGTCCTCGGGTTGCTCTTGCGCTCGCCCCGCGAGGAGGTGGGGCGAGCCGCAGCAGGCCTGAGGAAAGATTCCTTGTCCGATAGCGAGAAACAGGACACAGACAGATGAACCACCCCCGGACCCCGGACCGCCAGTACGATCAGGAGGAAGTGGAGGCGGAGGAGGGAGGGGGATGATGAGGAGAACACCTTGTGCCAGAGGTGCTGCAGCAGCGCGCCTTCTCAATGTAGTTTGGGCGCCGAAACGCGTTCTCCAGAGGAGCTCCTGACTGCCGCGTGCGTCGAGCGGCTGGAGTTGGAGCACGGCTGGTCGACCGTCGAGGAGTGGGCGCCTGATGGCATCAAGGGCCCCCACGAGACCGCCTTCGGGGCATTGAAGAAGATCGCCGACATCGCCGCGTACAGCCGTCTCGACGTACCTGGGATGAAGCAGCCAGTGAAGACAGCCAATCGGTTGTGCGACCTCTTGAAGGAGAGCCCCGAGGCGTTGTTGAAGGTCTGGCGTGACAGCGTCTGCGGAAGACAACGTAGAGGGGCTGCAGTCGCTGTTCTCCCTCGCGCTGGGCACGGCGGCGCGTGTGCGCAGGGCCTTGGGCCACAGCGTTCTGGCCAGAGCCAAGGGTGCAGCAGAACAGTCTCTGAAGCGCGTGGACTCGGCGGCGTGGCAACGGAAGGAATTGCAGGCCTTCTTGAATATCTCCAAGCTGCTGCGCGCGGAGCCGCCCGAGGACACCTGGAAGGAAGCGGACATGTGGCTGTGCAGCGTCGCGGCCGTCGCCGACGCCAAGGAGCTTGCCGAGCAGGCCGGGGGCGAGCTGAACCTGGAGCTGTGGGGGAACGCGAGCGACGCCGTGCGCCAGCTCGGGGACATGGCGCAGCCGGAGCGCGCCTTCCAGACGGTCATCGCGAAGACTTTCGACGCTTCTCTGGAAGATGTGGAGGCAGCAGTGGGGGCCAGCAAGGAGCTGCACGCGCAGGCCGTGCCATGGCTGGAGAAAGTCGCGCAGGAGCGGGCTGAACGCTCCGTCAAGCGGTTCGACGCCGAGCCGTGCGCGCCGCGAAGGAGCTTCTTGAGAGGAGCCCCATCCCCGAGACGCTGCAGGAAGCGGCCGAGTTCTTAAAGGTTGTCGGTGGCACCGTGGACATGCCGGAGACCTTCGGCGGCAAGGGTGGGAAGATGGTTGATGCTGTCAACAAGGTGCGCAGATCCTTGTTCGCCGTCTTCCCCAGCTCCTCGTGTTCCTTCACCAGTCCCCCGCTGTCTCATCCCACCGAGCTCCCCTCGTTCCCAGTACATTCCGCCGCGGCTCCTCCTCGCCACCCCGCGTTCGCTCCAGGTGATCGGTGGCTTCTCTCTCATAAAGGAGGTGTACCGCGACCCCCATCTTGAGTCGCAGGTGGACTCCATGACGTCACAGTTGCGACAGCGGCTCTTCCTGGTCGCCTGGTGCGCGAACGTGACGTCGTCGATTTGGGAGGCGAAAGGCCAGTCGAGGATTCTGACCCAGCAGAAGCAGAAGGTCCGCGATGCCATGAAGAACCTCATCAGCGTCGCAGAGGAGCCTGACAAGACGAAGGAGGAGTTTCCCGCGCTCGAGGGCCGCCTGATCCCCGAGATCCTTCTGAACGCGGGGAAGGCGATCCTCGCCGGCCGCGCAGTGAGCGGGGAGAGCGAGGCGGAGGGCGCCAGCGGTGCAGCAGACAGCGCGCCTGGGAGCGGGGCCGGCGGCACTGACCAGAAAGGGTGCGCCCGGGCTGCGCCCGGGGCCGCCAAGAGGGCCAGGGTGGGCGACACGGCGTCGTTTCCAAAGGCGACGCCGCATTCCCCAGCGGTTCTGGCGGCGAAGAGAGCCAGCATTGGCGGCGCCCCTGTGTGCAAGTCCGCGCGCAAGGCCGCGTAGGTGCGCGCTGCAGGAGTCCGGGGGCACGGTGGTGTTTTTCTTTGCGGCGGGGGCGCCTGGCGCGCTCTCCAGTCGAGCGGCCGGCGCCCAGGGGCCGCCTCGCTGAGATGAGAGGGGCGCGGGAGGCAGGGGGGCGCAGGAGATAGAGCGAGGCGGCGGGGGGAGGTCCAGCGCGCGAGATATGCACTGCGAGTTGCGGGCTGACGCTCGGTTTAGAGTTCAGGGGAATGGCGCAGTGACAGCCCGTGGCGGTCTCTCACGGGGGTTGTCCACAGGTCTTGCTTTTCCAGCTTCGGAAGTTTGCTACGGACAATGCGAGCGATGTGCTTAGTCGAGGGGAGTCTGACACTCGCTCTGCAAAAAAATGAGGAAGGATGGGGGGGAAAGCAAGGCGGAGGAGGAGCAGGAGACGCAGGAGGGTTTTGCCGTACTCTGCTGGGCGCGTCCACGAGGACGCAACAGACTTGAAACTTGCGCCGATGCCGCCCCAGGCAGGCGAATCGGGATCCGTGGATGAGGAGGAGGAAAAGAGGGGAGAAGGGGAGGGGGAAGAGGAGGAGGAGGAGGAGGAGGAGGGCCATCGCACACCTGCCAGGGGGTCGGCCGTAGGCAGATCAACTGCGGATGCTGCTCCTGCTGCTGCCAGTTGCCAGCATTTCAAGCCAGTCTTCGCGCGCCGAGGGCGCGCCCTGTTAGAGCAAGAGCGGTTCCTGTCCGCCGAAGGTTCTGGTTGTTGCTGCTGCTCTTGTTGCTGCTCTCCCTCCCCCCCCTCGCTCTGTAGGAGGAAGAGGATGGGCGGGTAGGAGGATGGGGGGAGGGAAGAGGAGGAGGAGGAGGAGGAGGAGGAGGAGGAGGAGGAGGAGGAGGAGGAGGAGGAGGAGGACGACGACCATTTTACAGATGCCAGGGGTTCGGCCGTTGGCAGATCTACTGCTGATGCTGCTGCTGCTGCCACTTGCCTGCGTGGCGGGCCAGTTGCCGCCCCTTGACTCGGATTAGCTCGCTCGCCTGGCGCCCCTTGGGCCCCTGGTGTGGCAGCAGCAACGGCAGCAGCAGCAGCAGCAAAGGCGCACGAGACCTAATGGAAGCAATAGGCACGCTCCTGCAACAGGTAAACAGAGCCTACAAAGGTAGATCATGTTCCCATCCACGGAACAGAAAAGTCGAATCCCCGATCGGCCCGAAGCACGGAAGGGGAGGAAGAGGGGAAGAGGGTGGAAGGAAGGGGGGAAGGGAGGAGGAATAGAGGAGTAAGGGGGGAGGTACAGAGGAGTAAGGAAGGAGGAAGGGAGGAGGGATAAAGGAGAAAGGGGGGAGGGAGGGGGGAAGAGGGGGGGAGGAGGAAGAGAGGAGGGCGGGAGGAGGAGAGGGGATACTGGGAGGAGGAAGGGAGAAGGAAGGGAGGAGGAAGAGAGGGGGGCGGGGGGAGGAAGGGGTAAGAAAGACCAGGGCCATAATATTCATTATCTGGTTCACTCCTTGCGGAGGGCGGGCAGTGAGACAACCAGGCAGGCTTTTGTTTGGTCCGTGGACATGTGCCTTGGGAACCGCGGGGGGGCCTCGAGAGGGCCCCGATGGGGTCAGTAGGCTGCCCTCCAGAGTTTTCTGGCTCAAGGCGCGCGGCGCAGTGGGCCCGCGCGGCCAGGCCGCCTCGGCGCGCGGCCCGCTTCGGCGCGGCTGATGGCCCCGAAAAAACTGCCGAAGCTCCCGGATGGGAGCCGCTGGGGGCGCCTCGACCTCGACAACTTCGTGGCGCCTGCGGCGGCGCGGGCCAGCACTGTAGAAGGCTCGTCGCCGCTCCGAGCGCGCCTATCCAGGCAGGCGCCGTCGTCCATCGCCAGCGGGGCCGAGAAGAGGCCGGCCGAGGCGCCGGCCTCGAGTGCGGGGAAGAGGGCGGCCGCGGCCTCCGCTCTTCGGCGGCCGGCGGCCGCTTCGAGTGCCAGGGAAGCCGCGGAGGCGGCTGTGACAGCGGGCGAGGAGGAAGCTCGAGGGCCGCTGGAAGGTTTGCCGGAAGCTGGCGCTGCTGGGCGCGCCGAAGACGACGCCTCGGCAGACCCCGTGCGTCGCGAGGGCGCCGCTGGCGGCGGCGACCGAGAGGGTCGGGCAGTGAGCGAGGAGCGCGGCAAGGCGTCGTCGGAAGTAGAGGCCGACGCGGCGGCCGCGGACGTGGAGGCGGAGGCTGACGACCTGCGCCAGCTTGCCGAGGAGAGCGGCGGCGACGGCGGCGAGCTCGGAGAGGAGGAGCAGCCGCGCGAGGAAGACCCCGAGGTCATCGGAGATGACTGGTTGCCAGCTTGGCCAGCCCCGAAGGCGATCGATGCAGCCGCGGTTGCTAGTGGACATGCGCTGCGATTCTTCGGGGAGTGGGTGGACCCCCGTCCTCAAAGAGCACGCCGCGTACGTCACGGAATCGATGCCCCAGGCGCTCTCGGTGGCGGCGTTTGGCGACGGAATGCTCGTCGCGGCGCCCGTGCTCACGGAATTGCAGAGGGTGTTCCAGAAGCACGGTCTCTTGTCGGAGGGTTTTCGCATCGCTGCCCACTGCCGCACGGACGCGGCTAAGAGCACCATGGCGAATCAGCGCGCTGAAGTGTTCGCGAGGTGGTGCGCGCCGTTAGGCGGATCTGGGCGGAGCGTGGACGACGGAATCCGGGGCATCGGCGGCCTCCCCAGAGGTGCTGCTGCGCGCGCCAGTGGGGGCCCAGCCTTGCTCTTGGGGAGCTGTTCGTTCAGGCGCCCGGGGGCCAGCGGCACCAGCGCGGCCAGCATTCTCCTGCAGTATGCGGCGCAGAACAGCGAGCTCGTTCTCGTGGAGAGCACGGACGGGCCGGGGGAGAGCATCCCGCACGACGAATTGCAGGAAACCGACGAGTGGCAGTGTCTGACCTTCGTCGTGGACTCGGCGGACTACGGCGCGCCTTTCAGCAAGTGCAGCAGGTGGCTGTTGGCGGCGCGCGGGGGCGCCCTGTTGAACATGGAGTCGGGGACTGAGTTCTTCCGCGTGTTCGCAGAGAGCGTCGAGGCACGGCAGATCCGCGGCCCTCCCTTCAAGGCTTTTGCGGAGGCTTCGGCGACGGTGTGGTCGGACTACATCGACGATGCCATTCTGCAGCGGGAGGCGGTTCAAACGCGCGCCCTGCCAGTGGGTTGGCAGAAGGGCATTCTCGAGTATTGCTTGCGGAACCAGGTGAAGATGCCGACCGTGGCCGCGGCCGACGCTCTTTTCGGCGAGAGCCGATGGTTCCGCGTCCTGGACGACAAGAAGAAGATCTTGCTCGCTCTTGCGTCGGCGGAGTGCAGGGGCCACGGGTTCGTCGTGGACCTGTCCGCGGGCCTGGGCGCCAGGCAGCCGCTGCCGCCAGGGGCGCTGCTGGCGGGCCCATTGCGGGGCAATTCGGAATTCTGGTTCTCTGGTTCAGGCCGCCAGGGCAAACCGACCCTTCACGGCATTCTCTATCCTGGGCTTTCTCTCTCTCTCTCTCTCTCTCTCTCTCTCTCTCTCTCTCTCTTTCTCTTTCCCTCGCT